CTTACTGAAGAAAGACAAACAGTGGGTTTGGTCTGAGGAGTGCCAGAATGCTTTTGAGATGCTTAAGCAGGCAGTGTCTACAGAACCGGTCTTGAGACTGCCTGACTTTGGTTTGCCATTTGAAGTGCATACTGATGCCTCTGATAGAGCAATTGGTGGGGTTCTAGTCCAAGAAGGACACCCATGTGCCTTTGAAAGCAGGAAGCTTAAGGATGCTGAACAGAGGTATACAACTCACGAGAAGGAGATGACTGCAGTGATACATTGTCTTGACGCATGGAAGCACTATCTGTTGGGTACTAAGTTTACAGTGGTGACTGACAATGTGGCCAATACCTACTTCAAGACACAGAAAAAGCTTACTCCAAAGCAAGCTCGTTGGCAAGAGTTTCTTGGGGAGTTCAATTTTGTGTGGGTTCACAGACCTGGAAAGCAGAATCAGGTTGCTGATGCCTTGAGTAGGAAAGAAGTGCAGGAGTATGTGGCGTCGTTGACAACGGTGTATACTGATTTCCTTGACAGAATCAAAGAGCAATCTCAGTCCGACAATGCCTATCAGAAACTAAAGCAACAGGTTACTGATGGTGAAGTCAGAAAGTACTGGATTGAAGATAATCTACTCTATGCCAGAGGAGGTAGATTATATGTTCCTGTTGGAGGTTTGAGACGGGAACTAATGCGGGAAATGCATGATCCTCAGTGGGCTGGACATCCAGGGGTGGATAGAATGCTGGCGTTGATATCCAGATCATATTACTGGCCCAAGATGGAGGATGACATAGAGTTATATGTCAAGACTTGCTTGGTCTGTCAGAAAGACAAGCATGAAAGGAAAAAGGAGGCAGGGCTACTGCAACCTTTGCCTATACCAGAGCGTCCATGGTAGTCAGTTTCAATGGACTTCATTTCTGGTTTTCCCAAGGTGGAAGGTATGAGATCTATTTTTGTGGTTGTAGATAGATTCTCTAAGTATGCAATTTTTATTGCTGCACCACATGCATGCCCAGCGGAAGTTGCTGCTGGTTTATTTCATAAGTTTGTGGTGAAATATTTTGGCTTGCCCGAAGATATTGTTAGTGATCGCGACACCAGATTTACGGGAAGGTTCTGGACAGTGCTATTTGGCTTGATGGGTTCTGAACTAAAGTTCTCCACAGCAAACCATCCTCAGACTGACGGACAGACTGAGAGGATGAACCAGTTATTGGAAGAATATCTGAGGCACTATGTCACTGCAAGTCAGAAAAATTGGCTGGAGTTGCTAGACACTGCACAATTCTCTTATAATTTGCACAGGTCTTCAGCAACTGGAATGAGTCCCTTTGAGTTGGCAACAGGGCAACAACCTCGCACACCACAGGAGGTGGCAGTGCAGAGGACAGGTGGAAGATGCCCTGCAGCATACCGATATGCCCGTTCCATGCAAGAGATGGTGGAGGAGGCACAGGACAGCCTTGCCAAGGCTGCGAGAAGGATGAAAAAGTATGCAGATAAAGGGAGAAGGCCATTAGACTTCCAAGTGGGAGACAAGGTTCTGTTGAAGTTGACTCCACAGATTTGGAAGAAGATAAGCAGCAAGACTGTTCACAGAGGGCTGATTCAGAAGTATGATGGTCCATTTGAAGTTGTGAAGAAAGTTGGGAATGTTGCTTACAGATTACAGTTACCTGAGAGACTGAAGGTCCATCCTACTTTTCATGTGAGTTTCCTCAAGCCTTTTCATGAGGACACTGCAGATACATCAAGACAGCAGGCTAAGAGAGCTCCACCTGTTATTCGGTTGCAGTTTAACAAGGAGGTGGAGAAGATTTTGTCTCACCGGACCCAGGGTCAGAGTAAGAAAAATCGCAGAACTGACTACTTGGTGCAATGGAAAGGATGCAGCGAAGCAGAGGCTAGTTGGGAAAGAGATGTGACATTATGGCAGTTTGAGAAACAGGTAAAGGAGTACTTGGACAAGTCGACGAGGGCGTCGACTTCTTCTGGTGGGGGTGGTTTGTTAGCCCCTTGACGGTTGTCCAAGGGAAGACATGGGCATTTCAAGGCCATGCCATGTCTTAGGAATACGTTGGCTTTGATTAGACAGCCATGAGGGTGCTCAGTGGGTTGTCAGCGTGCACAAGATGCTCAGCGTGCACACAAGATGCTTAAAAGGATGCTCGGCGTGCACTGGGGGTGCCCAGTGGCACTTTCGTAAATATGGCGAAAAGTGAAACTTGGAGTTTTGACTCGGGATCTTTATGGGAGATACCTTGAGTCCATAGAAGCTGGTTGGCGCAGACGGCACTTAATTTGGATGTCGGGAAAGGTCTGAAAGGCCATTATGACTCCTCAAGCATGGGTGATGTTTACTCCTGTCAGAGTGCTGGATTTCCTTAAGACTATATTAGGGGGGGGTCTGTTGAGCGCATCGGTTGGGCTATGGCATGGCTTGCTTAGAGGGCTTAGCCAACGTGCATGGGCACGTGTTGCACCACTCCAAGAGGGTTGCACAAGTGGGGAGCATCCAAGATATTGAAGGGCAAATAAGTGTGCACCGACACGCGCGCTGGAGTGCAGCGGCGTGCGTGCGGGCGTGCAGGTTGGCGCGCGGGTAGGCGTCCAACCTAGTGTGCGCGAGCGTCTAGCTCGGTGTGCACATGGGCGTCCAGGTGGGTGTGCAGCCACGGGCGCATGAGGGTACAAACATGGCGCGCGAAGAAGGGCACTAGTGTGTGCGCCGGCGTGCACTTTGGTGTGCACCTGAGCGTGCGCACGGGCGTGCATGGCTTGGCACGCCGTGCACTCAGAGACATATATATGTGGGTGCAGATTGGTGGACTTGGGCTAGGTTCACAAGGTTGACTCAGATGTGGCTAGAGCATGGATAACACAAAGTCATGGCTTGCGGTTACAAGAGGTGGTGGCTTAGTGGGCTCGGTTGGTTGGGGGAAGTTACTAGCACTTCCCACTCATCATGGGAAGTGGGGGAGTGCTGAGTAACCTCCCAAACATGTGGCACAATTCTGAGAGGACCAACACACAGGCGGTTAGGGGTGGTTTCCTCCACCATGCAGAATCTAACTTCTTGTGGTTATGTGGCATGAGCAGAACATGCCAACAAGTCTAGCAGTTGGGCTTGTCAACTGCATTATAGTGCTGGCTCATTTAGAGGGTGCCAGCACGACCCTAGGTGGATGGGGGTGTCATCCATCATCTTAGTGGGCAGTTATGGGCGGTTTTGAGAGTGGCCTATATAATGCTAAGGTGGGCTTTGTAGAGGGAACATAGAAGAGGGTGTGAGCCTTGGTTGTTCCTTGTACGAACTCATGTTCCTTTGTAATATGTTTAATATGAGCAAAGGTTGGGGCTTGTCCCTGTAAACTGTGTGTGCCTTCTTTATATTTCTATATTGTGTGTATTATGTTGTTGTGTTGGCTGAGACTTGGTGGCCCCAAGTGCCATTGCAGAGGCAAAAATTCGTGGTGTAATTTAGCCCTGTGACACCTAGCCATTTGTAATTGTGGGGGATTTGATACAATTAATTTATGTTAATATTTTGCACAAAGTGATTATCCTCAAATTTGAATACATGAAATTTTTAATTGCACCACACCAGATCGCTAAACGCATTTGATCCCGATAATCATCATTGAAGTAAATTGAATTCGCCTTACATTCTTACTAATCATGAGCAGAGAGTGATTTGGACCAAATAATTTCCAAAAATAGCGCGGAATCGTTTAAGCAATCAACCTCTATCCACTTTCTTTAATCAAATTCCAATTTAAAAACTCTTAAATACAATGTCGTGTCATGTGTGTGGACAATGTGCCTGTTTGAAAATTTTATTCTTTTGTAAAGAATATGAGGATTGTACTTTGTTTTATTTATTTAAAAAATCAATAAATACTATATTTGTTCCGCTTGTTTCTTTATTTGGAGATACAAATTTGTGTGTACATTGTGTCACTAATTTAATAACGACATTAATGATTCAAAACATAATCAAACCAAAGTTAGACACCTACTTCACGGGTTTGGAAGAGTTTGACGGGATGATTCTAAATTTTTTGAGGTACACCATTGATGGAAAATTTTCACTGAAGAGTATATATCATATAGCTCTGAGAATTGTATCACATATATTCATCTTCAAACTTTAGGGTCCTTAATTCAAGCATCCCTCGCATTTTTGTCTTCGGAGAAACGATGTGGTGGAGGATTTGTGCTCAGAGATTATGGTGGGCAGTTGGTGGTTAGATGAAGCTCTGTTGATGAATTGTAATTTTTTAGTTGATGAATAAATTTTTTATGTGATTGGTGGGAAAAAAGAACAAAATTAAACAATTGAGTTCGAGACTGGATTGTTTAATTAATTAATAAATTCCAACTCTCATTTTATATTCATCAAAGTAAAATTTATATATACTACACACATCACACATATTATATAAAATTATGCGGTTATGTTTGGCAACCGAATTGTTTTGTATTTATATTTTTATCCAAAAAGATGCATCATTTTTGTTGTAGAATATGTTCCATGTAGTAATTGGAAACATATTTTTGACAAGGTAAAATTTTTTGTAAGATTTTGAAAAGAAAAACATAAAAATATGTTTTGTTAAAATACTATTGCAATTAATAAATAAATGGGAAGTTAAAAAAAGGTCAGGAGTTTTATTATTATTATTATTATTTTGATATTAATAATTGCTACAGTGTTTCAGTTTCGGCCATTTTCTAAAAAAACAAATACAGTACTATTAAAAAATGAAACAAAAATTACAAAACATGTTTCCGTTTTTTTTGTTCTGGCACCACTTGAAAAAATATATATATAGTAGTGTGTGTATATATATATATTAGGGCCTAAGCTAAAACGTTATCAAATTTTATTTTATCTTATTTACGTGACCAAATAATATATAGTATATTTTATCTTACCTATATACGGAGTATGTATTTTTCTTTTTCTTTATATCAAATTATATACTCAGTATATGTGTATATTATTTCATAATTATCTGTGCAACGCACAGTCAGTGTAGAACGGAGAGAGGAAAGAGAATTGTCTAGAGAGAGATGAAGTCCAATGACTACTACGCTGACATGGAGGAGCAGCTATGGACGTGGACGACGTCGACACCCTAGAGATCTTCGGCGAGGGCCCTACTGCCGTCGACCACAAGCTCTCCGACGCCGACTTCTTCAACTTCTTCGAAGACGACCTTGACAACAACTCCGATGTCAACTGAAACCTCTCGCCACCGTCATCAAACCTTCTATTTCTGGGGTTTCATTTGGTAAGATTGTCTCTTCTGATGCTTATTTTGGCGGAACGATGAGAATGCAATGTTTATATACCATCTTTCTGTTATGAATCTATGTGTGCTTGAATATATAAATGGTACAAATTACTCTTATTTTAGATGTTAATTAGATTTTTTTTTTTTTTAGTTGTTATTGTTATTGTTTGTATCATTGTTAGTATCATTGAATGTCTGGAAATGGGGGAATTTTAGGGTATTCTGCTATTTGTTCTTCTGTTATTTAAGCTTCAGGCATTTTATGGCGAGAATCTATTATCTAGGGTTTCTCAAAGAATCAATAAATTATATATTGACAACTGATTTTAGTTTTGTATGCATCATTTACAGTTTAAGAATTTGGACAATTACAGTGTCTTGCCCTAAAGTTTGCCAGAATAACATGGACCTGTCTCTCTAAAGCATATCAGAGAAGAGAAGATTCAAAGATCTAAGCATATCAGAGAAGAGAAGATTTAAAGATCAAAAGTGAAAGAAATCGATAACTATGAATTAGTGTAATTGTAAATTGATTTTTATTAGTGATCAGCTTCAGTGAAAAGTGAAGTCACCAACACTTCACATTTTACACAAATAAAAGTGGCACTTATGTTTGAATTGATATTCAAAATGTGTATCAAACACACTTAATTAGGTCAATATTATTTTTTGAACTGTGAAGAGAGGTCCCTATTGTGTTGTCTGACCTTGGTGGGAGGTTTTATTTTGATGTCACTTTACCTTGAGAGCCTAGTTGTTTTGATGGATTATGCTCCTCTATTTAGGGATGTAGAATTTTCTCTTTCCAAGCTATGCTTACTGTTCTTTTAGGATTTCTATGGGGAACAATTAAACAACTTGATATATATTTTTTCAACTGGGATTTCTGTCAAGGTTTGGAAACGGGGGCTTTATCTTTTGCTAACATTTGGTGATGAACTGTGGAGGTAGTTCTAAGGTTACTTGCTGCTGAACTAATTTAAGATATGGAGTGGTAGTATGATTTTGGAGGTGTGGGGATGTTTTTTTTTTTTTTTTTTTTTTTTCGGTTAATAATTGTTAGTTCCTCATGTTTTTCTGGGATGGAATTCAAAGCCATGGTAATGTGATGGGAAGCATCAATTGTTGCTTTGATCTCTAAATTGTCACGGAGTGTAATAATATGTTGGTGGATAATGAACTTACCAATATATATATATATATATATATATATAATATGAATATGCTTTGGGAAGCACAAGGAGATGGAACAGGAGTCCCTTTCCCTCTATACTGTGCAATGGGTCACCTTCCATTGTCTAAGGGAATATTAATAGAATGGGCATGACTGCTTCAACCCCTTTAAAAGGTTGTCCTAACCAATACCTATTTTTCGTCCATTGGCTGTTTGGAAGGTCCCATCCATTTGGCTTTGTTGCTAAGAGGTAAGATCTTCCCTTGAGAGCACTTTCTTGTAGCTAAGTTAGTCAAGTGTTACGTGGGAACTCTACCGGATCTGTTGACATTGGGTCTTGCCCTTTTGCTAGCATGTACCCCTCTTTGTTTCTGTATAACCGTCTCCCCCATCAGTTTCTATTCAAAAGGGACCGTAAGAGGGACTACTTATTGACTATAATGAAAGATAGACACTTTCTAGACTCGATGGATTAGCCTTTCAACCATATACTTAAATCGGAGTCATAAGCTTCGGAGGAGCCATAGAGTCGTGTACCTCAAATGCATACATAAGGCGCTTCTGAAAGAAAGGCAGGAATGAGCTGCTCCTGAAAGGTTTCTGGCATCTTAGTGAATATTGAATTATGTTTATAATGCATTAAGTACTATGCAAGTTGGTACCTTAGGACTTTTGTTGAGGTCTTTGGATCACTCTGTTGTGTTGCTCTAAACTAGATTCCATGAGTAAGAGTTTCTCTTTCTGTGGTGTAACATGGAAAGTGATCAAAAGAAGCACTTTTGAATCCCACAAGGCTTGTAAGTCCATGGTTTCAAGAAGATGGAATTTCACATCAGTCTTATCATGTAGTAAATAAATTAGATGAAAAATCAGAACACAAAGATGAAAGTTGTTTATGTTTTTAAATGGGCTGCATTACTAGATGATCATAAGACATATGAGATGGAACATATTTGATGCAGAAGACACAAGAACACTTGCCACTATGCCTGCAGTTGCAAAGAACTAACTAAATGTTCATTAAAAATGCAATTGATATTGCTTGATACATAAAAACCAGTAAGCCAAATAAGTAAAAGTAAAACAAAATCTGAGGAGACAACTTTGCCTGGTATCTGCTCTGAATCATCATGTAGTTACTATGGGTTAGGAGCAACCCAAAGGGGTGGTGGTTGAATTCTCTGCAGATTACCATGGCAGACTGGTTCTACACTTTTATCATCCAAGTTGAATATACCCATATCATGGCCCCCATACAAGTAATCCTCATCCATTTGTTCCCTACAATCGTCTGTGAAGTAAATCGAATTTGGCTTAAATTCTGGAAAATCATGAGCAGAGAGTGACATGGAATGATTTCCACCCAAAAAGAACACGCAATTGCCTAAAGATTCTACTTCTACCCGGTTATTGTGACCAAAATCCAACTTATATACTCTGAACTGCAATGTTTTGTGTGGTAAAATCAAAGGTAAAATCAAAGGGCAGCCATCTTCATCAGTTTGAAGGTCCCCCTCCTCATAAACTGGTACAACATCAGAACGAACAAACTGTTCAATAATCCTCACAACAAGCAAAAGATCACTTGATGTTTCTACCAAGTAGTTCCGTGTATTTAAACGACCTCCGTACCAAGGTTCTCGTTTCATTTGTATAGAATAAGAAGGTTGGTTAGTGATTGTTTGAACAGGAAAGGAACCGTGGAAGCCCCAAGCTTCAACCAAACCGCACTGAGAGAATGCAAAAAGTGTATTATCATTGCATGTTATGTCAAGATAAGGTGTATGCTCACCTTCAAGGTCGGTCCATGCATTGTCTCCATGCCTGAAGAAGGCAATCTTCTGTTGGTGGCCGTAGATAAATACTGCTCTGGTAGTTCCTGTTTTGAGATGGGCTTGAGGATAAAACAGCCTTCTTAATCAAGCACTTGTGAAAATCTCTCAAGGATATTAGTGTAGGTTCTTCAATATTATTAGGTTTGTTTATCACACAAACCCTGTCACCGGAAACTTTTTTGACACAGTGTATGTGTGGTAAAGCTTCTTTGTTGGGTAATTGAATTCGCACTCGTGAGAAGAGATTTAGGAGAAAAGGATCTGCGTTTTCATCCATAAGCACCAACCACCCATAAGAGGAACCGATGCAGTGACTATTGTGAAGCTCTCTGGGCACCTTTTTAAGCCTTCCCACCCTATTGTGCTCGAGGCTGAGGAAGGGAACACTGACTGTATCACTTTCTTCTTCAGATGGAAGCATGAGCAATGGTGTTTCAAGTAGATGAGGGGTGTAAAGCGGTGATGAAAGTTAGTTTTGTACAGTGTTATGCCATGAAGAACATACCTCTTTGAAACTCAACACGTTGATGAAAGACAATTTGGGTAGAATCAATTCTAGGAGTTCCGTTGGAAGATCGGACCATGAATAGGTCGTTGTCCTCTTTTGTTGGCGAAGCATATTGTTTTCTTGAAAATCCAAAGTTCTGTCGGAGATCCAAAAGGAATAATTGATTTTAGAAACGAATAGTCAATTGAAAACTGGGTCGTGTGTGTGTATATATATATAGCGCCGCCTCAGGAGACGCGTTAATTTTTTTCCACTGCCTCAGTATTCGGAAACTTACAATCCAAATATCACAAGATGAAAATATAGGGTTTTTTCAGAGATAAAAAGAGGAACAAAGAAATAATATAGAGTTTATGATGCGAAGTTGTGTGTGTATATATATTATATATAGCTAATATATAGCGCCGCCTCAGTAGACGCGTTAATTTTTCTCCACTGCCTCAGTATCTCGAAGCTTCCAATCCAAATATCACAACATGAAAATAATAAGTTAATTACGAAGTAGTACAGATTATTATATATAGTATTCCTATTAAAAATAGCCCATTCAATACTTAGGGTCTCTAAATATGATAAAAGTAAAAATAAAAATAACTTCTTCATGTGTTCAAAATTAAAGATTATCGTGCAAAATATTAGCAAAAATTAATTTGGTCAAATCTCCCATAATTAGAATTGGCTAGTTGTGAGGTCCAGTGCTTCGGGATTTGACCCAAAAGCTCAAGCTGTTTAGAGGGTTAACACTCAATCCATATATAACCATTCACTTTCTCATTTAGATTCTCTCCACCTAAACTCGCAGCGCTCTCGTTGTAATCGGGTCACCCTGCATACCGGGAAGGTTCACCTAGATCCCTCTGAACCAGACGTTTGGCGTAACACCGGATCAAGAAATGGGTGTATCTCTCGTACCAACTGTTACGAGTCCAAATATCGCAATCTGACTGTTTTTTTTTTTTTTTCGGTGAAACTAACATTCAATACATGTATATATATATATATATATATATATATTCACTTACCTTTCATGTGGAACTAAGTCTCACTTAGCACTAGTCCAATGAGTTTGTAAGTTATTTATATTCTTTATTTTATTTTTTTTATTTAATGTAGGGTTCTTTTTGTCCCGACCTTGTATAGTTTGTGACCCCCATTATTATATATACCTATTTTTTTCCCTTTACTTAACACTAGTCCAATGGAATGTGTTACTACTGTGGACTCTGTACATTATAACAATGGGTTTGTAAGTTTTTTTTTTTATTTTTTTATTTTTTTATTTTTTTATTTTTTTAAACTTTTTTTAACTTAGAAAAAATGAATTTTTTATGTGAAGAATGCCAATCAAGATAAAACCTCAAAATAAGCAAATACAGACGGGCTGGGTTAGATTGGCCTGATATTTTGAGGTTCACCTGTCAGTGTCCGGGCAGAGTCAGGATTTCATTTCACGGGGTCCGCAATGTACTTATTAAAAAAAAATGACAAATATAAATTGTCTAAATCAAAAGGCAAATAAGAAAAGAAAAAATCATAAATGAACATGAAATTACATACATTGAGCTCATAAAATTATAACAATGAATTTAAATAAGGAGAAGAAATTTTTTTTACATACATTATACATAAAGTGCAAAAAGAAGAATTTTAAGAAGTGAAAAAATAAAAAGAATGAAAAATGAGAGAATTAAGATTTGATTGAAGAAAGAGAATGTAATTATTTCTTAAAAGGAAATTAAAGGAATTTAATGAGTAAAAGTGAGAGGAAAAAAACGGTAAGAGATAATTTTGATAATTTAAAATTTTCTTATGTTGTACACCGTACTACTTATCAATAAAAATAATACAACTTTGTCTTTAAAATAATAATAATAATAATGACTGCTTTAGCGTGTTGATGATATTTAGATGAGATTTTGGATGGATATATAGGACTATCAACTATCTTTTTCTTGTTCGAGCACTAATACCCTCCACTTTACTTGTAAAAGTTCATCTACTCATGCAAAATATTTTTTGTTCATTAGTACTAACATCTAATAATTTTTAAAGCTATGTTAAGAAATAGAGAGGAAAAAAGTTAAATCCCAAAGAATTTAAGGCTGGTAAAGAGCTATGGTCTTTTGCCCAATGACTTGCAAAGAATCGAACGAGGAGCCATGATGTGAAAATCTCATTATGTAGATTTATAGAAATCGTGACTTGTTTGTCAACTTCTCACAAATAAACCATGGTTACAATTCACATTACATTCGAATCCGATAGGGGACAAGTCTCTACTTGTTACACCTAGTTGATAGAGTATCCAGTTTTTTAAACAGGTATGCCAGTGTTCGAATCCCCCTCCCCCTAGTTTGTCAAGGAAAAAAAATTGTATATCTTGTGAGAAAATGTAAAAGGCAGGCAAAGTAGTGGAAATAGTAGAAAAACTACGTAACAAACCAAAGATAAGCTGAAGCAGCAATAGCCAAAAGAGCCAAAAAAAATTTAGAAGCATTATAAGAACCATGAAGATAGACAGATACGACAAGATGGGCAGGAAAGTAACAATTGGAACAGAGATTTGATACACAAAATTTGCAAGTTCCATTAGGCTGGAGTTCCCTATAGCCACTCTTGCAATTTCGAATTAGGTTGAGAGTATTTGAGTCTAGCAGTTCCCAGATATAAGGGTAGTAAGAGTAGGTTCTGAAGTTTCTGAAAAAAGTGCTAACCCAGCGCACGATGCTTCCACCATTACAAGTCTAGGGAGAGTCAGAATTAAGTAGGTTACGACGTTTCTCTAATGCCAAATTCAATTTTGTCTTAAAAAGAGCTTGTCTAGTGCGCGAGGGCTGGAATCTAGAGAGGGTCAGGTGTACACATACTTTAAAGTTTTCTCATACCAAATGTAATAGCAACAGACAAATTCCAATTTCACTTTAAAAAGACGGGCTATCAAAATAGCCTAATTTTTTTTTAATCATCAGTGACTTTTCAAGTCCCGTGAATATCGATTTCGGATGCTTCGATCCAAGGTTTCAAGAGAGTGCTAGCATATAAGAGCTCGAAAAAGAGAGTTTTGAGGTTGTTGGAGAGGTCCATTCAACAAAAGAGGATAAGTTAGCGAGAATGATAAGAAGGTCGTAGAGAACAAAATGAAGGTCAAAGTGGACCGGTTATAGGCTAGGAACAATCCAAAAGGGTGGTTTTTCAATCTTATTACCCCTATCCAGTTTCTCTGATCTAATTCCAAGTTAAAAGCTTTGAAATAAAATGTTGTTATCAACAAGATAGAACTCAACTATAGCCTTACAAGTCATCACAAACAAAAGATCAATTGACGTTTCTACCAAGTAGCCATCCCTAGTTAAAGAAGTTTTAATATGCATTGTTTTAAACCTTGGAAGTCCCATGCCCCAATGAAACATCCTTTCGTTAGTGCAAAACACTTATAATCACAGTATGTAATGTCCTCACCTTTGGTTCAATCAAAACTAATGTTCATGTTTTTTTTATGATGTCATGTTTTTTTTTAATGTCTTACTACATTTTTGTTGGTTCATTTTTTCTAATAGGAGAGTCTTAATTGGACTAGAGGTCCATACCAACTAATAATTTCTCAAAAGAAATATTTCATCTAATAATTATTAAATGACGTGGAATTACATGGTTTGGACCAATCACAAAGTGTCACGCAATCAAAAAGTGAAATAAAAATGACACATTTAATTGTGTGGCAGCTTGTAGTTAGCGGGAACTATGTGAATAGTCCCTTGGTCACAGACCATTAATAAATTTTTATCATGGTTCCGTCCCTTCTCACCTTTTATGTCTGTTCTCTCAAATTCTTGTTACTATCTCTTGGTTCTAAAAATAAAATAAAAAATAGAAATTTCATGTAAAAAAAGCTATGCTAGATACCCTAATCTATATTCTTCTTCTTTTGGCACAATTTTGACCTTTTGCAAATTAGAAATTTCATTATAACAAAAAAGACTTTTTTTTTTTTTTTTTTTTTTTTTTTTTTTTCCCGGCATAATCTTGATCTTTTGCAAAATAGAAATTTCATTATAACAAAAAAGATTTTTTAACATTTGATTTTTACTTGTTTAACCAAGCATATATTGCTGAATAAAACTATAAATTCTGAAATCAATATTGAAGTACAACCGCACGACATTAACAATAAACAAACAAAACGGCATTTGCAGGTACTAACTAGAGAAAATATGTAAGCAGATGCGTTAATTTACCACATCTAGTTAAGGAGCTCGGATCCTCTTCTTTTGTACTTGAAAGTACAAATAATTTACCCCAATTGCAGAGAGAGAAATTTTATACTCCCAATAATTTCTAACCCCTTTTCCCTCTCAATTTTCTTTATTTATAGACGGTTACAACCTCCTCTGACCTGGGCCTTACTTCTTCTCTTTCACCTGGACTCAATTTCTCTCATCTTAATACGGGCTTCCGCAATGACTTCATGGATCTGGGCCCATCCAGCGTGGACTTGCTCCATCCTGGCTATTCATGCCCAACCAGTTCTTAACAATACGGATCCTACCAAACCCGGGTCACTTTGGTGTCCTCATTTGCCCCCAATAATCTCTCCCCTCATTAATGAGGGTGAGATTATTGAAAAGATACGATCTTGGTCTGACGGCTCGGACTGATGACACGAGGAATCGAACGGTTGGCACAAAAACCCAAACTTCGAAATCTGCAGTACCACTTTTTGCCTTGACCTTTTGAGTTCCATGTCGCTTTCACCTTTTCTCCTTATAAACCCCGATCTTTCAACTTTTATCTTTCTTTTTCATACCCCGCTTTTACTCTCCGCTGCTTTCCTGTACATTTGGGCGATTATTCTTCAACTTCTCTGGCAAGTTTTTCCTTTACGATTTTGGCTACTGTGCTGTGGCTGTGTTCAT